CTGGACATAAGGGTGCTGATGGTTACACAACAGTGTGAATGTACTTCATGCCCCTTAATTGTTCACTTAAAAATAGTTAAGATGGTAAATTTTATAGTGTGTACATTCTATTACAAAAAAATTTCTAAGAGAAAAGTTCATAGAAATCATAGCAGTAAGAGAAGCAATAAAACACTGAAATGCACGAGAGCAGAGGACATGAACCAGCAATTCACAGGAGGTAATGCAACTAGTACAGATGTGAAAAATGTTTACAAAGTCTCAAAAAATGCAAACTAAAAACAAGGTGAATTTTTACTCCATCAAATAATCAGAAATGGTATCAACCATCACTGCCAGGAGTACAAACAGAGTGGCCTCTGTACATCGCAGACAGAGCCTGAGGCGGTAAGCTAAAGACTCACACGGTATTAATACTTCTGGACCCCGAAATCAACACTGGTAGTTCTTTTTATAGAAAAAAATGCTCTAAATGTAGAAAGAAACTGTATGTGCAAAGACCATATTGTTTCTAACAAAATCAAGAAATTGGAAACATAGTAAACATCTAAAAGGAGCGGAACTGCTGAACAGACAGGAAGCATCCACTGGACAGATGAGTGCAGGGCCATTAAGCAGGAGTGATGGAAACTGCGTGAGAAAGGCAGGGGGGCACCGGGGACACCGTACTGACTGTATCATCAAAACACATGTGAAAATACCAGATGTTGTCATTCCGTTCCTGTGACAGGACAGTGCAAAGTCCCAGAGATGGCCTCCACACGTTCTGTCATAATCACAGTTCCCTAACGGGAGGGGTGAAGCCCTGGGTCGCGGCCTGCTGGGGAAAGGCCACAGAAACTCCTAAGACAACCTCCTGTCTTATGAATCTACACAGGAAGACAACAGGAGCAAGAGAGCCACCGCGCAGGAGGAGAAGCAGCACACCCTGACAGGGCCCTTCCCTGGCCCGCGGGCTCCCCAGAGTGGATGGCCCTCTCCACACAGGTAGGATCCAGCCAGGGTTTCGTAAACAGCTCAATTCTTGTTTTGCCACTGTCCTCATAAGCAGTCACATCATATGCAGTATCCATTCTCCCCTCTGCCATACTGACAGAGCACCGATCACTCACAGGAGGTGGCAGCAATCCCAGAGGAAACGCATTTCTCACACTTCCTTGTGGACAGGGATGACCAAGTGAGTAAGTTCAGGCCAATAAGAAGCAAAAGCTGGTAAGAGTATGGCTTCTAGGAAAGCACCTTATAAGGTTAGGACTTGAGTAAACTCCCCTTGCCCTTAACCCCTTCTTCTCTCCTGGAATGCAGATATGATGACTGGAGCTGCAGTAGCCAACTTGTGATCATGAGGCTTCCTTAGCGTGGGAGCCATATGCTAAAGATACTAAAGCCCAGAGATCTCTAATGACACCAGAGAACTGCCGTAGCAGCACTGGCCTCCCTACTACTGCTATCAAAGAAAAATAAAACCCCTAACTTGTTTAAATGACTGTTTTTCACACTTTTATTACTTACTGCCAAACAATTCACCATCTGTGAAGAATTTACACTAAAATCTATGTATTTCCACTTAAGGGATCGTTTATATTATAATTAGGTTCCTGAATCAAATTCAGCATTATTAAGGGCAATATCCTCAAAGGTTCTGAGAAACATAATCATAAATCCATTTCTTCCTCAATCCTCCATTTCTTCTATACTTCCTGCCGGTATCTGTTCCTTTAGGAGATCCAATTTATTTATTTATGTATTTTTAAATGTGGAACGTTCCACAAATTTGCATGTCATCCTTGTGCAGGAGCCATGCTAATCTTCTCTGTATAGTTCCCACATTGGTGTGTGTGCTCCCAAAGTGAACACAGATCAATTTAAATAAAACTTTCCCAAACCATTATGTAAAACAAGACCTAAAGTGTAAGTATTGAGTTTTTATTTTTTTAAATACTAAAGCATATGATTAAAATATCACAGGAATGCAAGCAACATAAACATTTTTGTTCATAACAATGGTAAAGTATCATCTGGTATTAATTCAGAAATGAATAATTAATCAGGACCATAAAAATCAATCCATATTTCTGGATAAAGATAGCAAAATGAACACATGTACCTAATATTGCTCCACTCCCATATGCCTCTATAACAGCAATAAAGAAACCTTTTTAAAAATATAAATCCTCAAGGAAGGAGAGAGGGAGAGGATAGTATACTGGAATCAGGGCAGCACAGGGCCGGTGGGGACTGACTTCGTGAGCCCGAGGACGTCCAGCGCTGCCCTGGCTGGTGGCTACAGCATTGTACAGAGCGGGTCTACGTCATTCACAAGTCAGGACGTACCACGTGGGACAGTTAATTTTATGTGCCAACTTGACCTGTCTAAGGGATGCCCAGAGAACTGGTTAAACATTATTTCTGGGTGTGCTGTGAGGCTGTTTCTGGAGGAGATTAGCATTCAGTAGACTGAGTAGAGAGATCTGTTCTCACCAATGTGCATGGGACCAGAATACAACAAAAAGGCAGAGGATGGGAGACTCTCTCTCTCTCCCCCCGACCCCACCTTGGGCTGGGATGTCCATCCTCCCTGCTCTTGGACACTGGAGCTCCTCATTCTCAGGCCTTCTTGAGCAGCATGTGCTGCTTGCTCGTTCTTGCTTGATTCATATTCAAAAAATCTGCAAATCTCTTCTGAAGTTATAACTCAATTTCTACTCAAGAGCACTGCAATTCTTTAAAATACATGATTCTATTTTGAACGCTGGGCAACTCAGTATTGAAAGGAGTACAATTCCCATTTGCTATCTGCTCAACCCACATGACCAATACAACTGGAGTCTCTGAAACTTCTTGAAAGATATGAGCTATAATGAGCTCATCCTCACCCTGGTATGTTCAGATGTGTGCTCACAAGAGTCAGAAAGAACAATTTTGTGAGCTACCGAGGGACCTATAATTTAGACCTCTGAGACTCTAACACCAAGAAGCTCTTATCTGATGTAGCAGTTCAGTAAATGTCTTCAATTAACTTCTCTGACTTGGCCATAAATCTCTGTACTTGCTTTACTCCCCTTTAACTGTTCCATTAACTGATGATTAAGGGTATAAACCTGAAAGAAATTTACCATTCTCACCACTTCCTCAAGCACCTCCTGCAATGAATGGACTTGCAGGATTCAAAGCACATTGTGTATAATAATATAATATTGTCTTATCTTTAATAAACTTGATTTTTTCTGAACATTCATTACAGATACTCCTTTCTGGCCAATGGACTTCAGCTTTTCCATATTCAAACAACTCTGATTCCTTCCTGGCAAGTGGTTTTGCCTTACTGGCCTATATGTGCCAGCTAAATCAGATAAAAATTTCTTTCATCAGGAAAAACTTCCTGTGTGGCCGTGTCCCGGTGGCCTCCTGCGTGTGGAGAGAAGGGGAGAACGCCTGGCCCAGCGAGCTGGAGAAGACAGAAGGAAGCAGCTGGGCATGGTGCCTGCTCCTAAAATCCTATCCAACAGGTAGTTATGTGATGTGCTAGAGGAGGAAAAATGCCAAGTGTGACAGGTGGGAGCCTGTGATTTGTTTTGGCTATAAAGACACACTGTCAGTTTCCTGGCTCTGTATCTTACATAAACCACGGTAGATACACAGCGTAGAAAATATACAGTGGCCTGTAAAACACAGAACCCATCCTTGGCAATTCCCAGTTGTGAAGACATAGCCAGAAAGAAGATCAGAGCACTTTCAAGGACTTGCTTTAATAGACATTAAATATATAGATTCCACTACCATAACAGTCTTATAGTTAACATATTTTAAGTCAGATAATTCTAAAGAACACTCCATATTTAACATTAGAAAGAATTATATAATTGGATCTGGGACCATTTGACAATATACTTGTGTGGAAAAAATCCAAAGCTAAATTATGTACGTTTTAATATGCAGCTTATGTTACAGGCAATTGCTCTCTACAAAGCAAGTGTTGTGAACATGTAATTAATTTTAACTTAAAAAGAACATTTCATGGAAGGAAACACATAATGTTGAGTAGAACAACTAGAACAGATTCCATAACCAAGAGACATTTCTCCTCATGTCTTTGTAATGTTTTATTTTATCTGAACAAGATCAATTAAGTACCATAATCAGGGCCCATAACTCAGCTCAATTTTATTTTATAATAAGATTTAAACCCTGGGGCGCCTGGCTGGCTCAGTCGGAAGAGCATGAGACTCTTGATCTCAGGGGTCATGAGTTCAAGCCCCATATTGGGTGTAGAGATTACTTAAAAATAAACAATAAACTAAAAAAAAAAAAAAAAAGATTTAAACCCCAGCAAAATAATATTTTGACTCGGTTTCCTCTGCTATAAAGCAAAAAGCATAGTCATCAAGTTACTTCAGGAGGCTATCAAAGTACATAGTTGGTTTCCTACCCAAATGCATTCCTCCCTCCATCTTGCTTACAGATGGAGGCCTGTTTAGGTACTTACCCTCCTGGGGCCAGGTGATCAGAGATGGTCCCCCACCCAGCCCCAGGGAAGAAATGTGATTAGTCTACTGTAATTCCATTCCCCTTGCTAGTGACCAGGCCAGGCAGGGACAGATGGACACATCTGCTGGGAACCTCATTCTTACAAAACGCTCCTACCCCTGAAAGTGTATAAACTGAAGGGTGGTACAGGGGCTTGGGCGGCCACCCTGGGACCTGCAGGGAATCAACCCAAGCGGCCACGCTAGAGCCCGAGGGCAACCAGCCCTGGGACCGCCCAGCTCTGGCCTTCCTCTTCTGAGAGATGATGAGCCCCTTTTGATTTTGGACATTTCTGTTGAGTCTTCTGTTATTTGCCAAAAAAGCACCCCAATTCATACAAATAAATTTAACAAGAATTAAAAACTCCAGAGAAGAATATCTTGAGTTTAAAATCTAAGTAATCCGGGGGAAAAAAAAAATCTACGTAATTTGGAATTTTGAGGGATATAGTCCCCTTAGTTCCAGTTACTCACCATTAAAAAGTAATGATCCTCAGGTTCTGCTCGAAGATACTTAAAAATCACTTGTTCCATGAACCTTTCCATAAGATCCCAGTCTTCAATTATTCCATGTCTTATTGGCCACTATGTCAAGAGAAACCAAAATACGTCAAGCTTCAGTTCACAACAGTAAGACTAAGAGCCCCACAACACCCGCCCAGGACAGACTGGGTTAGTGGAGAGTCCGGCCTCCTGCACAGGGACTGACGCGAATTCATGGAAAGAAACAACACGCACTTTAGCAAAGAGATTAAGCTACACTACTGTTTATATTCTACTGCACCCACTTCTAAGTACGGAGAACCATCCTAACAGACGGAAAAGTGCAGACAATCCATGATACCATTCAATCTGGAGGTTTTGTTTTTTTTTTTCTAAAACAAATGTCTACTTAATTTTAGTCCTTTTTTTTAATTAATCAATCTGTAACTTCCCGTACCTGACAGATTAATTAGTCAACCTGCAACTGCACAGGAGCAGATCTTGCTTCTGCGTGTAACCTGGCACTGCTGGGTCAGTTGTGCCTTCCAGAGTTTTGTAAATTCACTTGATTGCCCACATCAGAAATACCCCATTGAAAAACAGCAAACCTTCTTTTTAAACATAAGAATAAAAATAGACCCCTAACTCATAAGTACATTTCCAGATACTCTGCCATTTTGCATTATGCATTCTACCACTCTGTTCTTGGCTACACACTTAAAAGAAGCAAATTCCTCAGGAGCTCACCTTCGTGGCATACGTGGGCTTATCTATGGCCTCATCCCCTATGAAAAAGTCCAGGTCATCGACTCCCCTCAACACCCTCCTTTGGGCTTGATCAACTACCTTTGCCGACTCTCTGATGGCAATACCTTAAAAAAAAAAAAAAAAAATCACAAAGATTTCCATCACTATTCACATTTATTTGAATGATCAAGAAAGGACACTATAATCCCCATGTATGTACAAGTACATTTTCAGTGCTAGGGTTTTATCGGGGGTGGAGGTGTTCACAGAAAACGCACTATCAATGAGTACATAAAATACAGAAACGAGTTTTCTGTCGCAGCATTCTTTTCAGAATGACACAAAGGAACTTCACTGATCTGCTGCTAATCAGACAGAAATGACATCACTAAATCTCTCAATTTCATCTGGAGAAATCCCTCGAGATAGTAAATGAAATGCCCATGGAGTACAGTATATATCAATAGGTTCCAAATTTTAAAATACAATACAGAAGTAGACAAAGTTAAAAATATGATACAAAAGACTAAACTGAAAAATAATACCTATACACTCTTAAGTCATTTCACTAAAACTCTGCATCAGATTTAAAATACTTATTTTTAATCTTATCATAGGAAAATAACTGACTTCATTAAAAGGAAAAATAAAGAGATTGCTGGCTAATATCCATCATGAAAAGAAAAGTACAATAATCAAATAGCTGTATTATATAAAAATACCAATGGCTTTATGATACATTATTTCATTAAGAGGTCAACCTTGGTATTTGGGAGTATACTTAGTAGTAAATAATCAAATAGGACTTCACTCCAGAATTTAACATCTAAAGAAATGTGGAAGCTTCGCAAAGATTCAATTTCCCATTTAAATTCCTAAGCCTTGATCACCCTCTGAGCTCCCATTAATTCATCTTCATCAAATTTATTCCAAAACAAATTAGTAAACATATACAATTATTTTTAAAGTAGATTATGTGAAAGCCCCAATTTATTACAAATGAAGAATCGCAACAAAGCTTCACAAGTGACTGAATCCTTCCTCTCAAAAGGCGTCTCTTGCAGTAACAGGTGGAAGAGGTGAAAAGGGAAAGGTCCAGGACAGAAACCACTCTGCCCACCTCCTTTCCTCACTCCAACTCACTGCCACATTTAGACTCAAACCTTTCGAATTACAAAAGGTGGTACAAATCTAAGGGACAGGATTTCTGCTGGACTGAAGAAGCAGGTGTGGTGTGGAAATGCCGGGGACAGAGCCTAGCGAGAGTGTCCAAGTCGGAGGCGGTGAGCATGTCCAGAGCCCTGAGGCTGGTGACAGGGCAGAGAAGTCTGGAAGTCTGGTGGGCCCTAACTGGCTGAGGCGATCTGTAGAAACAAATAAAACCACCTCTGAAAACTGACCACGCCACACACGGACAGACACACTGCATCACCCGATGCGCACGGCATGTACTGGGAAGGGCCCCCAGCAAGATGGCTTGCAGCAGACCTCACGGTCCTCACACAGTGTGCCAGTACAAGTGACAGATTCTATCCTCTGGGCAAGATCAAACTTAATTATGCATGAATTTAGAATTAAACTGCCAAGTCAAAATAAAAAATTGTGAAGAGACAAGGGCAAAAAGATTCTGCAATTCATGACATCATTCAAGCTTACCAGGAATTTGGGGGCAATATATTACCCCAAAGAAAAATCATCACCTTGAGGAAAAAATGCCAGACTTAGTGAGGTGACACTACCACACTCAAAAACCTAAATGAAAACAAAGTAAATCTTTTCCCTCTCGAAAATGGTAATCAAAGTACTCTGGCCCCAAATCAGTAGATATATGTTTTAGTGGCCATTAGAAATAAGAAAAAAAATTTTAAAAACCATAAAGTATACTTCTTTTAACTATTATTAACTATTATTATACAGGAAGCAACTGAATCCATGAAACAGAGTAAAGGTATATAGAGCTTATATTCACGATCTTTTGTTTATGCCTCTGAAAAGCAAGATGTGGTCCAAACAGTCCTTGTGAACATGACAGAGAAATGTGTCTAAGAGAGTCTCTATCAAAGACTATCCACAAGTATTCACAGATCACGTGACTCATCACAGAGTAAGGACCCCTGTGGCCCCAGCAGTGATCTCCAGCCCTCCACAACACACAGAACAGACCCTGACTCAGAGGTAAGCAGAGAAGACAGTGAGAAGAAAAGGACCATAAACAGAACTGATAATAGAGTCAACACTGACACATTCCAACTGGTTACATAGAGGACGCATCTCCACGCAATGGAATATCATGAAGCCATAAAAAAGAATGAAAAAGGTCTTCATATATGACTCTAAAAAGATCACTAAGATATAGTGTTAGAAAAAACACAGGCGCAGAGCAGTGGATGTGGCAAAATGCCACTATGTGCGTGAAAATAGATGCTGTGTATATTTGCTGGTATGTGCAGAGTATCTCAGGAAGGACACACAAGAAACCAGCAATGACAGTTGTCATCTAAGAGGGGAAGTAAGTGGGAGACATTAATTTTCACTGTGTATCTTGTTATACCATTTAACTTCCATGGCATATGAATATATTATCTACAAAATTAATTAAACTTGGGCTTTTGCTTCTGCAAGGATAGTTAACATATTTTTCCTGTTGCTCTCACTAAGTACAGCCAGAACCTCTGGACTTTCTATATGAAAGAAATGGAGAGGCTGAAAGGTGAAGACCAGCTAGTCTAGGGACTGCAGGACCCCAGGAACAACACAGCAGTGAGTTTTCTGGGCCTTCTTTTTGTCTCATACGGCTCATACTGGGTGCTGGGCAAGCTGGCAACACAATGAGCTCAAAACAAAAAAGGTATCTCCAAAACACCCGGCTATCTCCAGCCAAAGAAGATAAAAGGGGCAGTCTGAAAAGATAAAAAAAAAAAACTTCTAAACAATACCTGCTTGACTCCAGTCAAACCACCCCTCCCCCACAGCGCAGATGTCTCCTGGAAGCTGGACTTCCATCTCACCCAGCAGAATCGATCCATTCCTCTGCTTCCAGCGCTGCGGTTTCGTCAGAGGAGGCCTAATGGAAAGTCAGGACTTCAACCACCACCAGCAGTAACAAGGCACCCCTGTCCCTCCTGGCCAGGACATACCACCTGCTGAGACTAGTGCGGAAGCTGAACTCCCACCCTCAGTGAGCAGTAACATGGAGTCCTCCCCAACAGAGTGTCAACAAAGGCCAAGAGGAAACCCTGAACTTCAACCTCAAAATGGCATTAACAAGGGGCATCCCCCTTTCCTTGCTGAAGTAGTATCAGAAGTAACCTGCTAAAACATCAAATTTAAACAAGGTCCAGAATCTCAGAATATAGTATTTAAAACGTCCAGGTTTCAATAAAAATAATCTCTCACCAAAGCGAGAACCAGAAACATCTCAAATGAAATGAGAAAAGACAATCAACAGATGCCAACACCAAGAAGACACAGATAACAGAATTATTAAACAAGACTTTAGGAGCCATCTTACAATGCCTCAATGAGCAATTACAAACACACTTGAAACAAAGGAAAATACAAGAAAGTCTCAGCAAAGAAACACAAACTGAAAGCAAAGATAGAAGACAGAGACAAACCGCATGGAAATTTTGGGACTAAAAAACACAATACCTGTAATAAAAATCTCAGTGGATGAATTCAACAGCAGAAAAGGACAGAGGAAAGAATCACTGATCTCGAAGATATAACAATAGAAATTACCCAATCTGAACAACAAAGAAAACAGACTAAAAAGCAAATGAACTGGGCCTTAGGGACACGTAGGATATATAATAAAAGCACTAACATTCGTGCATTCCAAGTCCCAGAAGGAGAGGAGAAAGGAGATAGGACTGGAAAAGTATTCAAAGAAATAATGGCTAAAAATCTGCCAAACTTGACTAAAAAAGAAATAAGCCTACAGATTCAACACTGAACAAACCCCAAACAGGATAAACCAAAAAAATCCATGCCAAGACACATTACAGCCAAACTTCTAAAAACTGAAGACCGAAGAAAAAATTCTGAAAGCCTCCATCAAATTTCTCATCAGAAATCAGGGCACCCAGAAAGAAATGGCATATTTTTCAAGTGCTGAGAGAAATGTCCACTCAGAATTCTATATTCAGCCCAAATATCCCTCAAAAATGCAGAGCAAATCAAGACATTCTTAGATAAACAAAAGCTAAGAGAATTTGTCACTAGCATACCTACTCTAAAAGAATGGCTCAAGAAAGTTCTCTAAACAGAGGAAATGATAAAAGGAATCTTGGAACATCAGGAGGGAAGAAAAATGGAAAGAACAAAAATAAGCATAATTACTTTCCTTCTCCTCTTGAGTTTTTCTAAATTATGTTTGGCAGTTAAAGCAAAAATTGTAACACTGATGTCCTTCTCAATGTATGTAGAAGAAATATTTGAAGCAATTATATTAGAAATGTGGGAGGGTAAAGGGACCTTTCACTCAGACTGGTAAGGTGTTGACACCAGTAGAACAAGAAAAGTTATGTATAGATAATGTAATAGCCACACCAATCATTTAAAAAGCTACACAAAGAGATGTACTCAAAAAAACCAATACATAAATCAAAATAAAATTCTAAAAATGTTCAAATAATCCCCAGAAACTTAGGTAAAACAAAACAAAGAAACAAAAAACAGAAAGAACAAACAGAAAAAGCACTAATCGATAATTACAATAAATATAAGTGGTCTAACTACGTCAATTAAAAGACAGATATTGGCAGAGTGGATTAAAAAAATCTGAAAGGATTCTATGCTGTCTACAAAAAACTCTCTTCAAATGTAAGAATATATGTAGGTTGAAAGTAGAAGAACAGAAAAAGGTATCCACACAAACGTTAATCAAAGAAAGTAGGAGTGGCTATACTGTGATCAGAAAAAGTAAATTTTATAGTAAAGAAAGAGAAGATTAAAAAAAGAAAGAAAGAGTAGAGAAGAACATTAAAAAAAATAAAGGGTCAGTCCATCAAGAAGACACAGCAATCTTAAATGTGCATGTAACAAAGAATGGAAATGTAAAATACATGAGACAGAAACAGGAGAAACAGACAAATCCACAATTATAGTTGTAGACATCAATACC